AAATATTACAAACATTGTATATTAACTGTAGGTAAAACAGAGGTAGTTTATATATTCAGTAATTTTAGACCTGGTATTAAAGCTAGAAATATATTTACAGTACCAACTGAATGCCACAACAAACCTGTTCTGGTAAATGTCTTACTTTTTACTAAAATAATTCATTAAAAGGGTATTCCAACCAACAAATATCCTGTTGCTCTGCACTCTGTTGGGCTTATGTCTGCATATATTTTATCTATATCTCTTCCATGACCAATCACGTGTTACACGTGTTCACCTCTCACCAAATTAGGAGCAGAATCTATACTGTAACTGATCAGCATTTACTAATATCAACAAATCAGATTAATGTCAACGAAAACGCAATTGAAAGAGTAGAGGAAGGTTTGCTAGAGCATTATTAACTCTCAACCTTACTGTTCTCGATTTCCATCTTGTTTCAAACTAGTGCTCTGTTAGTTCCAAAGACATCATTAATTAATCTGAATACATAATATGAATAAAACTCAGCTCATTGGAGGAACAGATGAAAATGAATACCTATAATATCTCTGAGGTGTTACAAGTACACATCTAAAGACGACATTGTATTCAAACATATCAGATTCTTTTCTGTTTTTTCTTTCAGAAACATCATCTATAATTTTTATATGAAAATAAATCTAAGATAGTAAAACAAATGTGTTGTTAATAGTGGTACTCATTTTGTTAAACATACATAATACAGCTGAATAAATGATACACTTCAGTTCTTTACGTAGATGTAACTTGGGCGTAATACTGTAAACTATACCTACTTCTGCGATATGAATGTGAAAGCTTTTATTTTCATACCACCGGAGCATTATTTCAACAAAGGCCTTGATGATAACATTATGATGAGTTTTGGGGTTTAAAAATGTCTTCAATATATATGTAAGAAGTATTTTTGGAGTGTAGATTACATAGATTGCTAATAACGAGTGGCGTTTCTTATTTTGTTCGAAATCAACAGCAATGCCCAAGATGAATGAATGTGATTTATTATTTTAGTTTAAATCCCTCTATCTTCGAAATGTTTATGATCTTATTGACCAAATAAACTTTTGCCACGTTAAGCGCTTATCTCAATCTTATCTAACCTTATTTGAGGCAGTAGAACTGACAGTGTTGGTTTTAAGTTTGACAAGAATGTGGGCGTTACAAGTGATCTGTTTTGTAACTGTTGTAGTAACTACATGGGCAGCTACACCATGCTGTACCGATCGTGAATATGAAGCAGATATTGGTGTTATTGGAAGTACTTTCCGAAAACATAATTTCAATGATTTACAGGTAATTCTATTGTTATCAGTTATAGCTTTGAGTTTGGAAGTACAACATTTGCATAACATCCATCCGATTTAACGTATTTAGTTGAACAAATCATATATTATTTCAAGCTATAATTAACTACATTGCTCGGTGTGAGCTATAATAAACTACATTTCTCGGTGTAAGCTATAATAAACTACATTGCTCGGCGTGGTCCCTTTTCTTGCACAAATGAGTTTGATTGTTTCAATTCCTCATATGACTAAAAATGAAAACATGGTCTTGAGTATGCAAGCTATTACTCATTTCATTTCTAGGAATGATGCTTCTTGCCACATAAAGGGCAGACCCTCAAATATGATCACTCGAGGCATCCTTATTTATTTGTTTTAAGGGTTATAGTTCTATGTCTTATGATAGTCATGGTAAAATGGTTGTATTGTCGACCCATGTTGTTGTAAATGGAACCATGCACTATAGTAAAGTAGTGTTCGACTACAATGCAGTAAGTAAAGTTTCATGTATTGTGGGGGGGGGGGGGGGGGGGGGGGGG